CCAGCCCGCGCGGCCCCCTGCGTCCAGCGCTGGCGCCCGGGGCGGCCCCTCATCTGCCAGCTCAGGCCACTGGGGAGCTGGTGAGCGGGTCCTGGCGAGGCCAGTTGGGCCCCACACCAGTGTGGACTCGGGGCGGAGGCGGACACCCTGAGGCTTGGGCCCACCGTGGGCCTGACTGGAGCCAGGCGCCGGTCCAGGCTGGGCCTGCGGCTCCCTGCCCCCACAGCCGCCCTGGCACAGACCCTGCTCGCCACTAGAGGCCAGTGCAGCCCAGGTGGTGCCCAGGGCCGCTCACCGGTGGGGCTGGGGACAGGCCTCTGTCCCCGCTCCCTCCCGTCCCCCAGAGCTGCAGCTGGGCACTTGGGCCAGACCTTCCAGAACTTTCCTGGAGCCGAGGCCCCCGGAGGACCTTGGGGAGTCGGGTGGGGGGTGGGTACCCTCGCAGAGGCCAGAGGCCCAGCCCAGTCTGAGGCCAGGGAGGCTGGAAGCGGTCTTTGTATTTCGGCAGGTTCTGGCAACTTCCAGGCAGAAAAACAGCTACTTTGCCGAGGTGCTGACGCTTGGGGGGGTGGAGGGGCGGGCACGAGCGGGGGGTCTGGCCCCCACCGCCTGGCTCCCGCCAGCGCCCTGACCGCCGAGCGGCCGCTCTTTGCTCCACTCTCTGACTTGCGCGATTTCCACAAGCTGAACCCCACTAGAGGTCAGGGGCGTGGGGAGGGGAGAGGGGCTTGCTGAACCCCAGTCCCGAGGTCTGTCCCAGAATCCCAAGAAAAGGGCCCAGGGCCGGCCCAGACTTGCCGCGGCCGCGCCCCTCCACCTTCAAAGGGCCCAGGCTTGCAGCCGCGCGAAGCCCCGCTGCTCGTCACAGCTGCCCGGCGTGGCCAGCCGTCTCCGGAATCTATTTTCAAAAGTGCTGGCTCTGCGATGGACACTTCTGGGCACACGGAAATGGACGGCAGCAGCTTTGGACTGGACGTTGGCCCCCGGGGGCGGGGGTGTGTGTGCAAGACGCCCCCCTGAGGCGCCCTGGAGGCCCGGTGCCCAGTGGGGGGGCATTCCTTTGAGTGCCCGGGAAGACAGCGCCAGGTCCCTACCATGGAGCTGGGGGGCAGGGTGAGCCCCCGCCCACCTCTGCGCTCAGAGGGCTCCGGGGGCTCTGCCCGTCAGGCCCTGTGCCCCCCGTGGTGACCTCATCGGGGCTACCCCAGACCAGGAAGCCAGACTATGGTCATCTCAGCAGAAGGGGCCGCAAGGCCAGCCCCTGGCGGTGGGAGGGGGCTCCCAGACAGCCAGCAGGCAGGTCCCAGCGAGGTGGGGAGGCGGGAGGCTCCGCGCACTGCGGTCACCTGCCACACCTGGGTCGGCACAGACCCGGCGGCCCCCAGCTCCAGCTCTCCCCCAGCCACTCACAGCCACAAGGGGGTGGGGGCGGAGCGAGGGTGACGCCCCTTTTGCAGCACCCGGTGCCAAGTGTCCCCCTCCGGGGACTCCAGGAAGTGGGGCGGGCGCAGGTGTCCTGTTCCAGGAGCAGGCCCCACCCAGCAGGCCGTGCTTTTGAATTCCAAAAACAGGAGCAGAGGGGAGGGCCGGTGTTTGTTTAAGCCCAGCCGCCCTCAAGCCCGTGAAGTGGCACTTGAGGCTGGGCGTGGGGGGCCCTGCTTTCCCACTCCCCTCTGCTGCAGGGTCTTCTGCGGAGGGGTCCTCCCAGCCCTCCTGACCCCAAAGCTCCTGCCCTCTGACCCACCCCGGCGGGAGGAAGGGCAGTGGGGGGGTCCACTTAAGAGGGGCCTCTTCCTCCCCAGCCCCAGTTCCCAACAGGTCTCCCCAGTGGAAACCCCCACAGCAGGCCCCGACTCAGCCAACCTTGCAGGCCGGTAACCACATCATTGTCTCGCGCCCTGGCCCTCCCGGCAGCCTGCAGGGTGACCGGCAGCTGAGTGTGCGGCCAGGGCCCCAGGTCTGGGGGCTCACCCGGGTCATGCAGTGGCTGGCCCCTCCTTGGGCGCAAGGACCGCCAAGGTGCAGAGTGAGCCGGGTGGTCCCGCCGCTTATAAGGGCCGCAGGGCCGGTCAGCGCCCACACTCGGGGTGAAGGGCTGCCCCCGTGGCTCCAGCCCAAGCCTGTCCTCCGGGATGGGGAGGGCTGGGTCTACAGCTCCGCTCTCCAGCCTCCTCCCTCCCCGCAGGAGGCCAGTGCGAACCG